ACGGACCGCCCACTTATCGAAAGGTATAAAGTCATTGAAACGTCGTTTGGGTGTAGTTAATAGGCAAGAACTGTTCCCTTAATTGTTTTCTTCATCTTTTCCCAATTAATGATCTTCCACTTTCCCAGCTTTTTTCGAGCCTTTATTAATTGTTCCCACCAAGCTGATACACGACCCTTAAACTTAATGGTCATGAGCTTAACCTTCCTATCATTAGGCTTATCCTTGTATTCACATATGCGATCTATGGTATCAATCCAATCATAAAAATTCTTCCTCCTGCATCCTCCCTCAAACTTTGGTATGTCGATATTAATACTCAGATCCCAAGATCTGCTCTCCTGAACATGGGGCTCCCAACATGGAGCGTGCGCATGGAACGAGTTCTCGAAAACCGCATCCAATGCACTACCGTCATTATAGTGTGTCAGGATTGGATTTTATGCCAAGCGTTGTGTCAGCTCTTCTACTTGCCTTCTCAAATTTTTGATCTTGATATCCTGGAGGTCCCGCTCTCGCTGGATCTGCTCATTCTTAGTACTTAGTTGTCGAACATGTCGATGAACAACGATGCTTTGTCAATGAGCACAGCGATTGTACAAGAATCGAGGCTCTGATACCACCACATGCAGTTGAAAATTACCAGCAGTCAAAACTCGACAAATACAACCGCATTTTAGAGAGAGAAACTAATATTTAAGAAAAAAATCAACAAAAAAAATAACAAAACGTACGGATCCGAATCTTTTGCTATGTGCCCATAAAGGTAAGAAGAAAAAAGAAAAAACCCACAAAAGGCCACTCCCTCTCTCTCTCTACACGTAAAATGTGAACTTGTTTATTCACGTCCAACCAACTAAAAATTCCTTTGCAATGAAACTTATTTCTTTTAAATTGCCCTCTCTAAAAGATTCTTTTCCTTTTCGTTGACATCAAAAGATAGGCGTGCTCCTGCTAAAAGATATCCTTTAGGGAAAATTTCAAATAACATCAAGAATAGGGTTCTTATGCACTCCAACGAAACATTGCTTCCTACTTTTTGCCCTAAAATACATTTTCCTAACAACTTATCCCCAACTAAACATTGCTTCTCACTAAAGTACATTTTCCTAAGAAATACGCCCAAGTAAAAAAATACACATTTTCTTGACAAAAATACCTTTTTCATGTACGTAAACCATTAATTTTAGCTGGACATTCACGTGGACTTACATAGGCTGACGTACAGCCATGTACCAATTGCCAAACCCCGTTAAACTAAAAAAGTGTTGGACCGGCCTTTGACAATGTCAGACTGCACTTTGGGGTTGTTGTCGAACTGCATGGGCCTATTGCCCGACCGCTCTTGGGCAGTGTCGGACCGCATGGGCCGATTGCCGGACTGTTCTTCGTCAGTGTTGGACCACTTTGGGATATTGTCAGACCTCTTGTTTATACTGTCGGACCACCTTTTTATATGTTATTGGAAAAGATAAGTAGTCGGTGTTAGAAGAGAGAAAGGGTATTTTGGTCTTAAAAACTATAACTTTTTTACTGGGGGTATTTGTTTGAAAGATTTGTTCTGAGGTAAATGTTGCGATAGAAAACCTAGTTTGGGGTAGATTGTAAAGAAAGCTGCATCAAGGGGGGTTTTTGTATTTTCCCTATATTTTGTCTTCCAAAAGGCAAATCCTCAAAAAAATAAAAATAAAAAAAATAAACTAAAAAGAACTTACCCACTTGACAAGTCCAACCCACGAGCTTCCTAATAAGACCAACGTAAACTAATAGAAAATGTCCCAACCAATGAAAGATGGACTCGGTTTCTATGCTGCCAAGGTTGCATATGTAGAAATGCGGCTTAATAAATCTATTCTTTTAGATGAATTTTAAGACTTAATTTTTAAGAACATATAATCTTTAACATGAAGATCATAAATATGAATAAATAAATTTTAAAATTTTAAAATAATAGTTTTAGTAAAAAAATATTTGGACTGTTAGTTTTCATTGTTTTTAGATGGAACACCTACTTGCATCAATCTTTGAGATGGATGATTTATACTTTCTAGACCGTATATGTAGAAATACGGACTGGCCCGCATAAAACAATTTTCCATGAAAGATTTTTAAAAAAGAGATCTTTCTAAACTTAATAAAGGAACTCATAAAAAAGAAAAAAAAAGACTCATAAGGGAAGAAGTGTCCATTATGGAGGAGGGCATACGCTCATATTATAATGCACTCCACAAAGGCTTCCGCTTTCAAACTCTATTGGGAAACGGGAGTGTATTAGTTGCTGTTTTAACTGAGACTTTGGTCTCGGACTCTGTAATTTTTTTTTAATTGTTGATTAATAAGGCTCTGAACTTCTCTCAAAAAAAAATATTTATATTTTATACATAGTTTGATAGCATGGCAAGGGATGAGTGTGTCCCTTTGTGTCAAAAGCAGTGTTTCAAAAATAACTTATTTGTATCAAAAATTGTTGTGGGTGATCTAAATCTCGTAATATATTGAGATCCGGCCATGTCCCTCCAAAATCAGCCGGTTCAAGACATTTCCTAAGTAAACTGGATATTTTGTAAGGTTTTTTTAAACTTTTCAATTGACAATTTTTAAAAATGTTTATTTAAAGAAAATGTGGAACATTATAAAAAACTGTGTTGTTCAGCGATACAAATACCGGATAGACTATTAAATTCTATTGTTCTTTGATCCTTATACTAAATAAGTACTGAAAAAAAAACAAAAAAATTTTATAAAATCATCCCTTGTTGTGTTAACATTGCCGGTAGGTGGGGAAATTATGGAAGACAAAAAGACGAGCTCCCGGGTGGCGGGAGGGAAAAGGGCAAAAGCGGGCTGCTCTGGGTGGTGTTGTCGGGTGTACAGGGGCTCCACCTAGACAATAATTTTCATCTTAGTAATATATTAAAATGGACAAAAATATGTCCGTACATCCTTTTTAAAGAGCAAATTTAAGTATGGGTCTTATTTGGGGGTGTCAATTCCCCATGCAGTTTTGTTTTATTTTTCTTTTGAGTTGCCCACGTCTGACGATGAAAAAGTACCGAATAATTTTTTATTTTTATTTTTTAAAGTCACCAAAATTATTCGGCATTTGAATTGCTGGTCATTCACGAATAGTTTTCTTCATTAATCTGGTAAAGCTCATAAGCCATAACAAATTTGGCTAAGTTCTCCAAATTTTGATTTTGTTTTGTTCTTCTTTGAGCAATTTTTGATGTAGTCCAAAATTTCGGTGAACTTAGGTTCATAACTCCAAATTTCGCTGAATTTCTGTTCATAACTCAAGATTTCGGTTCCATTGGCTATTTAGCAATTGAACCGGATGGGATGCCTGAATTATTCAATAAAACCTGAAATAATACACAAATTATTTGGTTCCTCCGAGCCTCGTTTGTTCTCACCTTCTGCCTCCCCTGAGCAGCTAAATACATTTCAATCTCGTGAACCAATAACCTATTTCTCTTTCGCTTTTGAATTTTAACCCATCTCTTTCTTTCAATAAAAACATTCATCCATACTCTCTGTCTCTCTCAATTTAAAAAACTTGGTGTTCACAAAAAAAAAAGAAGACATATTTCAATTTGAAAGGAAGGTTCAGTGAGAGAGAGAAGGGGAAGTAGTCCATGTTACCCGAGAGCAGGTGGGAAGCAGAAGAAGTGGCCTTGAACCTCAGAAGAGGACCTCCGTCTCATTTTCTCCCAGTGACGTTTCTCGCTCATGTCTCCTGTGTAGGTGTTCCTTAATCGCTGGGAGTTTACCAGGAAGAACAGATAAACGAGATTAACTATTCGAACGATCACTTTCGCAAAAGACTTCACTCCCATACCCATTCACCCAACTAATCCTCCATCCCCGCTACCCCATTGTTTGAGAGCGAGAGAGTGTCCGAGAGAGAGGGAGCCACATAAAACTCCCAACAAAAAAATCCATCCCAGTAGGTGTTTTCATCACGGGATTGGTAGACAATTTAGAAAAACAAATAAAACAATGAAAAAAATTAAGAAAATTACACATATATCTCTTATATTTTACGTTATTACATATGTATCAAATAGTTTATATTATTACATGTTTATCCGTTTTTTACTTTTTATAACACAATTTAAAAAAAAAAACGATTTTATTTTTTTTCGGGTGTTCAACATCCGAATTGAAGGGTTTTTCGGATGTTCAACATCCGAAAATAGCCGAAAGTTTAACATTCACAGTCATATTTTTGGATTTTAAACATCCGAAAATGTCACATTTTCGGATGTTGGACATTCGAAAATAATTTTGGATGTTGGACATTCGAAAATAGCACATTTTCGGATGTTCAACATCCGAAAATAATTTCGGATGCTGGACATCCGAAAATAACTTATTTTCGGATGTTGAACATCCGAAAAAGTGCCTGCGGAATGTGAACGTTAAACTTTCGAACTATTTTCAGATGTTGAAAATCTGAAAAACCTTTCAATTCAGATGTTGAATATCCGAAAAAGGGTAAAGTCATCATTTTTAAAAAATTATTTTATGAAAAGTAAAAAACGGACAGATATATAATAACAAAAACTTTTTGATATATCCGTAATAACGTTAAATATAACACATACATATATAATTTTCTCAAAAAATTAAGTAGGGATCATGTTCGGCCAATTACAAAATGAAAATATATTATTTTCAAAATTACAGGAGGCACATCCGCTCGTGTTTTTTTTTCAAGTTACCCTATGTTCTGTGAAGCTAACACCGAACTCGTGGATTATTTGCCCGTGTAAACGAAAAGTAGCTGTCAGGAATTCGAATTACTGGACAGCTCTTTGGCTCCCTTCCCTGCCCTACCGGACTGCTCCATTCTTCTCTCTCGTTCTGTCATTGCCAAGCCGAAGCCGAAGCCGAAGCCGAAGCCCGCACTTTTCTCACTCGATCTTTAATCTAGCCGAAGCCCAAGCTTCCCAAACCACAATCGAATCAGGTATTTCTTAGAATAACTTTTTTTTGGGTGGAAAATTAGATTTGGGGGATTAAATAGGCCAAAAATGTGTGAAATTTATGATTAGAGTTTTTTATTCACTTACAAATGTTCCAATTTCAATTTGATTGTAATTTAAATTGAGATTTCGGTGTTGGTTTTGGGAATAAAATAACCCAAAAACGTGTATTGGAAATGAGATTTGGGTGATTAAAATCCAGTGAGTTTTTTTTATATTGTTAAGCTCCCATGGTCCCAAATCTACCAAAAATGATTTTATTTTTTTATTTGTCTTTTTTTTATTTATTTTTCCTGATTAAGCTCAAAGAAGATTAATCTTAAATCTACAGAGAGCATTTATATTTGATTTTTTTTTGTTTTTTTTTCTTTTTCCTGATTATGCTCAAACGAGAAAACCCCCAAATGCACCGCAATAATATGTATTAGCTTCTTAGAATATGTTTTTTTTCCTTAACATTTATATTTGATTTTCATTTTTTTTTCGTTCTTGGTTATGCTCAAATGAGAAAACCCCCAAATGCACAACAAGAGTATTTATTTGTTTCTTTAGGTTCTGATTTTTTTTTCCTGGTTTAATTTTTTTCTTGCTGGTTGCATGCTTTTTTCTTCTTTTTTTTTGTTTTTTGCTATGTATCATGAATGTTTTTTGGGTGGTTTTTTGGGGTGTTAACCCTGGTTCATTGCTACTTTTTTTTTTCTTATTGGTTATATGTAAGAGAAGTGAGAAATGAAGGCATTTATTTTCTTCATTGTGGGTCTCTTAACTCTTTTGCACCCATCATTTTCTAACTTCTTATAGAAGCATAATGTCTCCCTCATGTCAAACTAGTAGAGTAGTTCATACTACTTACCCAAACTAGTGGCGCAGTTAATAGATTTTTTTTTTTTTCATATATGAATTTGTTTGTATCAACTGTAGTTCTACTGTGATTCTGCCAATTGTTCGAGTTTGGTTCTGAGTCCAAGGCACAAACCTTGTACTTATTGATCATATTCTATGCCACTCGAAGTCCAATTGTGCTAACTAGTCAGTAGAACCATTTGATAGCGTGAGGACAATGTTCCTTCGCATTTAGGAAAATGTATCATGTTGGTTATATCCTTTTTGGAAGGAAATTACTGCTAATAGGATTAATATCTTGGAACATGTAAGACAGTTTCTTGTAAATAATGTGTTGATCTGTATGCCATTTGGATGTTATTCTATTACGAAAGATGACTGTGAATAATGTGTTGATCTATAATGGATTTTTTGCATTGGTTATTATATTTCTCTATCTTCTTATGGCATCTTTTGATTTTTTGAATTGATTTTTTTTTTAAGTGGTTGAAGTGATGCTTGCAAAATTGTGATGTCTTCTTGGGATTGTTTATGTAAGTATTGTGTGTGTGAGTCTTGTATATCAAAAGTAATGAAAGTTAACATTCTTCAAAAAAGAAGCCTTTTGATGACTGAATTTTGGATGTTAAGCTGCTGGTGTTTTCATAAAACTCACATGCTGAATTTAGATAAACATTCAACAAAATGGCCATGTTTCAGCCATCTATCCTTAGTACACCTTGTCTATTAGTGCATCGACGATCCTTACTAATATTAATATTTGGATGTCTACAAAATGAGCCATAACAATGTGTCTTTCTGTAATATGAGAGATGTCTGTTAAATAATGTGCTGATTTGTAATGGATTTTTTGTATTGGTTATTATATTTTTCTATCTTCTTAATCGCATCTTTTGATATTTTTTTTTTAACTGGTTGAAATGATTAATGGTCAGTGACAAAGTATTTTGTAGAATGGTTTACCATAGAATTTGGGATATTCAATCTACATGTTCCTCTTAATTTATAATATATGATGCAGTAAATTAATATTTGATATTAACAAATGAAGCAGATCTTACCTCATGCCCAACTTCTCATTCTTTTTATCTCTACAAATTTCCATGTTTGGTTGGTTGCATGCTCTATGTGTTTCATTGAGGCATTCTTTTTATATATTGTGATGATTTTGAGTTAAGGTGAAATTGGTGCACATAAGTGTGCATGTCATTTACATTAGTATGCATGTTACCAACACATCATAACATGCATTTTAGAGCCATTTGTTGTGGTGCACAAAATTCTTTTCTTTCTCCTGAAAGCCTTCAAGATGTTGCATGTATTTCTTCATCTGGATTTCCATGCATAAAGGTTATTTTCATATCTAATTGTTCTAAATGGTCAGGTAAAGCATTAGTTGTAATAACAAACCAAATATATATTGTGATGTGTATGTCATTTACTTTCGTATGCATATTACCAACACATCATGACATGTATTTCAAAGCCTATGGCACATGAAGTTGACTTGTTGTACATGAAAGATGATCATGTTTGGAGATTAGCTGTTTCTGGGTTGGAGAGGAATAAAATTTATATTGATGAGGCTTTTAGCATCATCCAACATTGGCCCCTTACAAATGAACAAGTGGATTTTGTTAGAAGCACGGGCTATGGCCTCTTGTTCAGTACGCTAACATGGAGGGGGCCCCGCGACAGATTGATCACGATCTTACGGAGGCAGTGACAGAGAGATGGCGGCCAGAGACGAATTCACTGCACTGTCCACGAAGAGTTGGTGAGATGATGCCAACCTTATATGATGTGTGGTGTATTTTCCGGCTTAGAGTCACAGGTGAGCTGGTATTGACAATGATATGCAAACCATAGGGGCAATACTTGTTACAATGGTTAGGATGTGTCCCAAGAAGCGATTTTAAAATTCACCATTCATTGAACTTCACTTGGTTGAGAGAGACTTTTGGGAATCTACCAGAAAATCCTACACTACAACAAATATAACAACACACTAGGCCATTTTTGCTATATGTAGTAGGCAGCACCGGTTTTCTACAGTCAAATAAAGGTAATGAAGTCTCTATTACGTATTTGACCTTGTTAGAGGATTTTGATGTTGCGGGCAGGTACGCATGGGGGGTTCGACCCTAGCGTAGCTTTTTAGGGGCCTCAAGAAGTTTGTTACTGTTAAAATTAAGAAGGGGAGGCAAAATGTATTGAATGATGTTCAGGCGGCACCCGGTTCTCACCTCACTAGGTGTGCGACATTATTTCAAGTAAAATTATTTTGTTGTGCTACTTATTCTTTATTTGTATGTCTTAAAGGGTTATGTTTTGTGAATTTCATACATTTTTTTCAGCTATATTTATACATTTCATACATGCTAACGTAATTATTGTATGTATGTTGGTTAGTCATTGGTATTCGAACATTTCAAAACATTGCAGCCTGAGGGAGGCAGTCGACGGGTTGAAGCTGGTATACCAAGCGCGGAAAGATGGGTACACCCAGGCACATGGGATAACCTAGTTGGGAATGTAGTATAGAAATTAGATCTCTTTGAACCTGATAGGGTATAATTGCAATGCTTATTAGTGTATATACATACTCTTACGGCTGAAAGTTATGAATATTTATTAATGTAAACTAGTTTATATGTGTTGTTATCCATTCTTATAGGTATTAGAACCCATAAGTAGATCAGAAAGACTGGTGCTGAGGAGGTCCATCAAAGGGTTCTAGATCGAGAGGCATTGGAGACCGCTCTTTGCAAGACATATTTGATATTCGACAACATCGCGGAGCGGTACCTCCCAGACCAGGTACTGAGACAATTTGAACTGAGACAGGCCATCCCAGCAAATCATATAGATGGAAAAGATTTGACAGGTGGGGTAAAAATGAAAAAAACTGGGAGCAAAAACTCGCCTCTCAAATCAAAGATTGGCACGACCGCCTTCAGTATCGTCAAATAGGCGAGCAAGACCTGAGTCGTGGTCTACCTTCGAATGAGTATGAAGCATGGTATGTGCATGTTTCAATCCCCATAATTCATAACCCACAGAACCTCGGACGGATGCATATGCACCTCTAGGCTATGGTGACCACATGGTAAGTTTGTATTTAGATTAAATTTATATTTTATAAATTCTTATATATATATATATTATCTTTGATTGGAATTGTGTTGTTTCAGTTGTCCAAAGCAGACCATTTGACTGGAATTGTTGACAATGGGCTGACGGCTCAAGACCCCAAGACAAAAGATCGATATTTTAGGGAGCTAAGGTGAGAGCAGTTATTGTGTAAAGGCGAGTTGGTTGAGGAAGAACAAGAATCCAGTGATGACTCTAAGCAAGAGCCTGTGTTAACTGCTGACCCACAGCTGCAAATGCACCGTGGAAGAGCTCCAAGAGGAAGATCCGCACAGACTTAGGAGCCCAGGACTGCTGAGAGAGCGGATCCCAATTCAACAGCCTTTGGGAAGAGGCCAAAAGTACTTGCCCCCAGACGAGGAAGAGGACATTGATTTTATATTGTATAATTTCGATGTAATACTTTTGATAAAAATGTAAGTTAGAAAACCCTTTTGGGTTAAATTTTATATGTAAATTTGATAAGGCGTTTGTCAAGCCTGTGAAATCTTGTCTCTATTTTGATGCACTTTTTTTTTTTTAGTAGTGATGGTGATTTTGGATTGGGATTGACATTGATGTGTGGTGTTTGTATTGCTTGGTTTGAAGTTTGATTGTATTTAATGGAGAGGGGGAGAATCTATTTGAAATAAGGGTTTTGTTTTTTTTTCTTTTTGATTGCTTTGTTTTGTTTGAGAGTCTGAAATTATGGAGCAGTATTTGAGCTTCACTATCAGAGTGGGCTGGGGGATTTCAGGGTCTTGATTCGAATTGACGGGTTTCGATTTCAAAGTCTGAAATGTGGGTCTTGATTTCAATGTGAATGGGATTTGAGCTTCACTCTCAGAGTGGGCTGGGGGATTTCAGTAAATTTGGGTCCTCATTTGAATTGATGGGTTTTGATTTCGAAGTCTAAAGTTTGGATCTTGATTTCTATGTGAAAGGGATTGCAACTTGTGCATGCAAGTTAGCGAGTGAATTGAAAATTTTAAACTAGAAAATATGAACATAAATGAATGGTAAAAATGAACAAAAAGATGTCTAGTATTTGACATACTAGACAGGAACATGGCAAAAATTGCAATAGAATATTGTCCGGTATTTTACATACCGGATAGCCACAAAGAAAATTTCAACAGAAGGTTGTCCGATATGTCAAATACCAAACTAAAATAAACAGAAATAACAAAAATGAAGAACATAACATTGTCCAGCATTTGACATACCGGATAGTCATAGGGAAAAATTTGAACAGAACGTTGTCCGGTATTTGACATACCAGACAAGAACAAGACAAATTGCAATAAAAAACTTTCTGGTATGTCAAATGCCAGACAGCGTTTTGGAGTTTTTTTTTTTTTTTTTTTTGAGAAACAGTCGCCAAATTTTCATTTCAAAGCCCCTATACTATTACAAAACTATCATCTTTGTTGCATAAACCCCATATACTAATACAAAAGCATCAGCTTCCATGTTACATTCCCCAAACATATGAACAAATACATTGTAATTTGTTTAACTTTACCCTCAATTATAATTGGACCTTTATAGATTACAATTTTTCAAGTTTAAGATATTTTTAAACCCCTGTTCTGACTCATCACTCAAAGATTATTCACTCAATATAACCCCTGTTCTAACCTACAAACAGTTACATCAATCCCGTTCACTCACAACAACATTAACATCGAAATAACCTGCAAACAAAATTAACATCCAAATAACCTAGAAACAAAATTAACATCCAAATACCTGCTTCCCCAAGTTCAAAATTAACATCCAAATAACCTACAAATAGTTACATCAAAATTTACATCGAAATATGAACACCATCAAATTTACATCCAAATACAAAGTTTACAATCATAAAAACACCATCAAAATTTACATCCAAATACAATTACCATAGATAATTACATCCAAATACAAAAGTTCTTTAAATAGTCAAAAAATTGAGAAGCAATGCCCACTAGGGCAGCGAAGGTTAAAAAAATGATCCTAAGGCACTTGCTCCGCCAGATGTCAAAGGCAGCAGAGTACTGATTGGTTCTCAACAGCTCTTCCTGTTGTGGCCTACTTCATCACAACGTTTACAGGCATAACCCTTGGTAGATTTTACTTCTGTCCGCCTACACCGCTTCTTTGGCCTTCATGGGTGTCGCTTGGTATTTGGGGGATATACAGTTCTATTAAAAGTTCCAGTCATGCGCACTGAGTCTGGTACATGATGGAATCAGTTGCATAGGTGGTCATGTATGCTTGAACTCTGAAATATGGTTTTTATAGGGTATTTTTTGACACTTTTATCCCCGATGCGAATAAGGAGGAAGCTAATTGCAACCTAGGCATGCGGGTACCAAATTGCGAATGGACTTTGGAAGCACTATTCAAATAAACCCTGATCTGGAGTGAATTTTTGAAAGGCGTTGAATCAATCCCAGAACATATGTGGGGGTAGCACTTGACTCCCTAAAAACACCAGCCAAATTTTGTCGCGATTCAACAAAGTTAAGGTGGATCAGACGCAAAACCAGTTTTCAAATTCGGCTCCAAATATGCTGAAAAAACACCTTATAACTATAACCATATCACCAGATGAGCACCATATCACTTCTGTTGGATTCAAAATGTTTGAAAACCCATCTAGATATCAAATTTCAGCTCATTCAAACCCTTCTAGACCATAATGTGGCTAACGTACCCAGAAAAGACAGGTTATGCACTATTCTGGTGCACCGTTGGTGAACTAGTTTCCACTTATGCAAATTGTCTTATGATTTTGAGATCACCTTCAAAATGTCATAACTTCTCCATTTTAAGTCAGATCGAGCCCAAATTTCAAGAGGTTCTTCGTCTCATCGATGCGCACATTTTGACATATGGCACGGCCCATGACACTGTCAGAGATGGAAGAAATCTTAGAGAGAAGTTGCTCAAAAAAACTCATGTGTTGCAGATTTTTGTAAGAAGGAGACCCCTTCAATCAAACTGTCATATCATGAAGCCTCGATCTCGGATCGATTTGAAAATGAGTCTGTTACGACCGCGACATCGAGGGCTCCGATCCAAGGTTAACATCATATATGATAAATGATCATAAAGGCTATATTTTGAGGTTGAAAAAAGAGGTACTTTCCGGCGATTAGAATCTATATTCCGGCAACTTCCCCAATTCGAAAAGTGATGATCCGCTCATCAAATCATGTCATTCTTGTCACAAAACGATCATGGAGGTTTCTCCATCATTCTATGATAGAAAGATCGAACAAAAAGTCAAGAAATGGACAATATCTGAGATCTAAGAATGCAAGTCTCATCTTTTGCTGGATTTTATCAAGAGTTCAAAACTTCGATTCAAGGATCAAGTGATATGCCAAAACGATCGCCTTGCCGAGACCATCACTTTTATAGCATTATTTTCATCGAAAGATTGCCGGAATGACTCGAAATGAGTCATGAATCATCACCATAGCCCATGGCCACTTTTTGGGGACCATCTTGTCATTTCTAAGATTGTGGGTAGGGACAAAATGGTTATTTTACCCCAAAAATAGGATTTAATTTTAATCATGAAAAATATAATATTCACCAATTTAGGTTAGTTTTGGGTATCCACCCTTGTTTCAAAGTGATGCTATATAATCGTTTGTAACTATGTTCAGAAGGGGGAATGCGAACATAAGTCGATAAGCTCAAATAATGAGATTGGCTTGAGTTTCCCTTGGTTTGTAATATTTTTTGTCTCTACCCCTTTCCCCAAAGAGATGAGAGAGAGACTTTTTCCCACAAGCCACTACCCAAAGAACTTTTCAATCCCCACCAAGAACCCCTCACCTCCTACTTGGAACTCTCCACTCCCAACCTAGACCCCCGTCTGGTTCAAGGACCAAACTAAGTAACCCCTCCTCTCTTTTTCTCTCTTCCTCTCCCTTTCTCTCTTTCCCTCTTTTTCCCTCTCTTTCTCTCTCCTTCCCTTCTCTCTCCTCTCTCTTGCTCTCTCTCTTCCCGATCATCTCTTTTCTCCCTCTTTCTCTATCTTTCTTTCCTCTCTCTTTATCTCTCTCTCCTTCTCCCTCTTTCTCTATCTTCCTTTCCTCTCTCTTTATCTCTCTCTCCTTCTCCCTCTTCCCCCTCTCCCTTCTTTCTCTTTCTTCTCTCTCTTCGCCTCCCCCTCTCTTTCACTCCCTCTCTCTCTCTCCCCACGCCCAACCAGGTAGACGACTCGCCTCTTTCTCTCTTCTTCTTCTCGCTTTCCTTCACTCTCTCTCTCTCTCTGCACATCCAACCAGCCGTCGGCCCGCCTCTCCATCTTTCCTTTTATTATTCTTCTTTTCTTAACTCCCTCTCTAGCCACGCCCAATCGAGCCCGCCTCTCTTTCTCCTCGCTCTCACACTCTCTCTCTCCCTCTCTCCCCATGCCCAATCGGGTCATGCCTCTCTTTCTCTCTTCTTCTTCTCTCTCTCCTTCACTCTCTCTATCTCTCCACACTGTTAACCGCCGACCCGCTTCTCTCTTTTCTCTCTTTCTGTTCTCTTTTTCTCTTTTTCTTTCCCTCTCTTTCACTCTCTTTCTCTTCTTCTCTCTCTCTTTCCCTCTCTTGGTTTCGAACAGGGGGCTAAGCCCCTGGTGCCCTCACATTCCTCTCTCGCTCTCTCCCTCTCTCTCTCTCTTCTCCCTCTTTTGTTCGGACCGGAGGCTAAGCCCCCAATCCCATCACTTTCTCTCTCTCTTTTACTCTCTTTTTTTTTCTTTTCTTGTTCTTGTTTCTTTCTCTCTTTCACTCTCTCTTTCTCTCTTCTTCTCTCTCTCTTTTGTCTCTTTCTCTTCTCTCTCTCTTTCCCTCTGTCGATCTCAGACTGGGGGCTAAGCCTTCATTTTCACTCTCTTTCTCTTCTTCTTTTTCCCTTTCTTTCATTCTCTCTCTCTCTTTAACTCTCTTTTTCTCTTTTTCTCTTTCTCTTCTTTTTCTCTCTCTCTTTCCCTTTCTTTCACTCTCCCTTTCTCTTCTTCTCTGTCTCTTTCCTTCACTTGGTCTCGGATGGGGGGCTAAGCCCCCGATCCCCTCACATTCTTCTCTCTCCCTCTCTCTCTCTCTTTTCTCTCTCTCTTGTTCGGATTATGGGCTAAGCCCCCAGTCCTCTCACTTTCTCTCTCTCTTTCTTCCTCTCTCTCATTTGTCTCTTTTTCTTTTGGTCTCTTCCTTTTCCTTTTTCTCTCTTGCTCTCTCTCTCTCTCTCACTTATATTTGATCTCTCTCTCAATCTCAATCTCCTTACTCTCTGTCGCTCTCTCTCTTTCATGGCCTCACTCTTCCCCTCTCTCGTCTTCTCTCTCTCTCTTTTTCTTGGCCTCACTCTTCCCCTCTCTCGTCTTCTCTCTCTCTCTTTTCTTGGCCTCACTCTTCCCTCTCTCGTCTTCTCTCTCTCTCTCTCTCTCTTTTGATACTTCTTACCCTCTCCCTTATTTATCCTTGCATTGTTCACACACCTCAACACCA